GCTCTCCAACTGTCTGATTGACTGACTCATTTATAGACTGGTTTACTTGCTAACTGACTGATTAACTGACTGATTGAATGAATGTCTCTCTATTTGGCAGTCTGACTGTTTAGCTGTCTGATTACCTGTCTGTCTCTCTATTGTCTGTCTGGATGTCTCACTGCTTGTCTGTCTAATTAACTGACTGACTGATTGTCTCACTGTCTGCATGTCTGTCCTTTTGGTGGAGTGTTTGCCTGTCTGTCTGACTCATCGACTATCTGTCTGCCTGACTGTCTGTCCGTCTGAATTTCTGTCTGTCTGTTTGACTTACTGACGAAGAAAATGACGAAGAGCTGACGCTCGAAACGTCAGCTTTTAAACTCTTTATGGTAGCCAATTCACATTATTAACACAGTTGATAAAACTTATCTTCACTAGTTGACCGTCAAACTTTCCGGCTGTCTAATGGCCTGACTGTTTGAATGACAGACTAGCAATGAGTCGCACGGACGGACAGACCGAACTACAGTTAGTACGTGGCTGACCACTCGACTGACTGATTGACTGACAGAATGATAGATTGATTGATCACTTAATTGATCCCACACTAATTCATTAATTGATTGTGCAAACAGATTCCTTAGGTATTCAATTGTATGGCATTTTCCTCTTTCTCTCAGATACCTCTGAGAAGAAGCAGAAGCCACCTCCTCGCCAGTTTCCTTCCCAGCCCCCTCCTCCTTGGATCCCTAAACCTGAAGTTAGTGTGGTATCTGTTCAGCCCCAGGACTCCTCAATTAAAGATGACGATGAAATTCCTTATTCTAGTTCAGATGAAGAACCTATGCCGGTAATAACGTTAATTCAGTTTTTTTTTTCGTACACTTTTCCAACTTTAGTCTTCTCCATTTTTAATGTACTGATGTTGAGTGTCGTAAGATCAAAATAATCCCATCGGCCAATCAGAGGAAACGAGTCTAAAAGCGCGGGAAAACGGAAGTGTCTAAGGCGCGCTTGGTTCTGGCTTCGCATCTGATTGGTTGAGAGGGTGGTGGGAGTTTTATAAACCAATCACAGAGCGAAGTAAAGCGTGGCCAATTCATTCCCAGATTGCTTTCGACACTCACTCGAAGATTGCTCTAGAAACCGCTTAAATTATTTCTAAGGTTAACGATTTGATTTGTTAAAACAGTTGAATTATACTTTCTCTCCAGTCCCCAGCAACTCGGGAAACTATGACGCCCTACGATCTATCGGACTCAGGCCCCGTAGAGCGCTTTATTCCTCCGAGCGAGGCAGATTTCCTTGGTCGAGTGTATTTTTCGCTGCAGTTTGACTCCAATAGGTAAGCAATGCCTCGTCCATCACTCGTCCACACTTGTGTTGCTTCCAGCTGGACTATCGTTAATCACGAATGAATTGAGCTCGTTAGATTCCTAGCTGATTTCCTTACAACTGGCTAATCAGAGAACAGGACTGGAATCGTTAAGTCATCCGTTTACAAAGTTTGCTCCACATTCGAACATGTCTCTGCGTTTTTGAAATTACCTCCAAGAATATTTACTACTTTTTCCAGAGCTAGGAAACCTTTCAAATCGAAATTCCACGTAAGTAGATTTCAATCTATAAAAGCAAATTATGACAGCACCAAGATCAGTTGGTATGAAAAATGGAGCTAAATATGTTGTCATTTCCGGTGACCAGTCGGTAATTATCGTTTGCGAACTGTTACTTCCTGTAAAAATCGATTCCATGCAGTTGCAAACAAACTCCACGAGTTTCAATCTCGTTCGTTGTGTAGTGGTGAAAATGATATCAATATGCGCGCGAAAGTAGAGACACTTGTTTCCATCCCCATGACGTCTTTTTGTTCTTTAATTTTCAGGAATGTCTTGATTGTAAAGTTGATCAAAGGAGAGGAATTTCCACAATACGCTGGAGACTCTCCAAATGTCTTCCTTGAACTTAAACTAGTTCCAGCCATGAAGAAAGAAATTCTGAAAACTGACATTCACGAAAGAAATTCGAATCCTAACTTTAACGAAATCTTCGAGTTTGGTTTACCTTACGACCTGGTGAAACAGCAGAACCTTAGTTTCACAGTAATGTACATGGACAAATTTTCACACCCCTTCCCTGTGGGGGAGGTGACGCATCACCTGGATCACTTAGAGAGGGTGGGTGGCGAAACAGTTCGAGAAGAGATGATCGTGTGTAGGGAAATACAAAGATTGCAACAGGTATGACGAATGATTAAGATTTCAGACGTACCAACCGCTTTAAAAGAAGCTGATCTGAAGACCTGTAAAAAGAACTGGAGACTCGACAGCAAATAGCGAGATTTTATATTTCCCAAAACCAAAGTTAAACGAATCCTCTTTCTATTTTTTTTTTTTTTTTGGGGGGGGGGGGGGGGGGGTTGAGTAAGTATTTATTTCATTGTTCTTGGCTTTTCTTGTATTACTTGTGGTAAGAAGATCCAGCCTTCTCTGATGATTCGAGAAGGTCATCTCGAAACCTATGGCAAACCATCTTTTCTTTTGGATAAGACAGACTTCGGGTCAAAATAATTTTCTCCTCAAAAACCGTCAGATTGATAGTCTTGTCATGAAGCTGTCAGAAAAGATTTAAGAAAAATTGTGATACCCACGGCAGAACAAATATAAAAATGTCAGGTTATTCAACCTCTTTTTGATAATGAATTTTCATAACCATTGTGGCATCAGCATACAGTAGTATACAATAACGACTAATACCTAGCATGTCTAATAATTTTTTTTCTTGGTGTCTGCCACAGATCAAAGATCAGCCACGTGACTTGGGCTTTGGTCAGGTGTTATTCTCGCTTATGTTTATGCCGCTGACCAGACGATTAACGATTGTTATTTTCAAGGCACAGCATCTAAAGCCCGCCAAGGAGGGTTTCCCAGGTCAGACTTACATGTTTATTTTGGAAATGTCACTTTCGCTACATTGTTCATCTGAGAGTTTTACTTTAATATCAACTAACTTACAATTCATTATTTTAAATAAAAGGGGGGGTGGGGGCAGGGGGGGCTGTTGAATGAAAGCGTTACTTTCCCTTGTTTCTAGTGGAGTCCCTGTCTCAAGATGTATTTTGTGTTATGGCAAAAAAAAAGGCATTAACTTTAGCGTTGCACTCAGTGAAGGTATTCTTTCTTTTTTCTTTTTCAGCCATTTATGCTGAAGTTGTAATGATTAACGTCAAAAAGAGACAACGGAAGCGAAAAACAACAACTCTACGAACAGGAAGCTTATTTCCAGTTTATAACGAAGCTTTAGCATTTGATGTGGCGGATGCTAACCTAGAAGACATTCGTTTGCAAGTTTTTGTTAAACAGGAATTGGAAAGTTCTCCTGATCAAGTTGTCGGCCGCGTGGTCCTGGGAACTAACGCAGAGGGCTTGGAACTGCAGCACTGGAAAGAGGCTATGACGTCAAAGAAACCAATTGCTCAGTGGCATAGTTTACGGGAATATCACCCGGCAGATCAGGCAATAACTGGCGTCGTATCACCTACTCATAAGTCTGTTATATCCAAAAAAAAACTTGCCAGGTTCTTCTCTACATCATCGGAGGATGAGGGATGAAAACTTTTCATTGAAAAAGATATATACAAGTCTGTTGTATTTCCTGGGAATGAGCCTCATGTGCCCGTCGCTATCTGTTTCCCAGGCAACAGCAAAGTGTAAAGATGAAGACGTTGATGACTACGGTACTGTTACTCGTTCACTCGTACCCAGATCACAATGTTGCTCTTACTCTGCCGATGCCCGAAGAAATAGACTGGAGCGCAGAGTAAACACAAATTAACTTTCATGTTAAAATCATGGCTCTATTCGCGTCTAAGTTTTCTTTGTTCCAAAATCCAAAGCACTTAGGAATGTAAAAAGAAAAAAAAGGAAAATGCCCATGGTCTTGAATATTTTTTTCTTCTTCAACACAACCAAGTCTGTTCGTTTAAAAAGTTGAAACCTCCAGGAAATGTCTGTACGATTCCAAGGTGTATTTAGTTCGCCACAATCTCAAGCATATTTGCAGTGCAGTTTGAGGTTATAAATGTTCATTGAAATGAGTATTTGATAACTTAAAAAACTGAACTTGAGGCTAAAACCACGAGGCTTAGGCAGTTCGTGATCTTGATTCCACAGACGCGTTGGGAAAATTCGACGCAGTGCACAGCAACCTTAGCTATTGTGCGTCTAACATTGAGCAAACAAAAACATTAGTTTGAACTCGAAGGATGATAAACTATTCCTTACTAATGAGTAAATGTAATGTCTCTCAGTCGAGAGAGGCTTGTGCCAAAACAAAACTGCAGGCGAATCTTTTTCCCTGTTGTTTGATGGCCAAGTGGAGTTGTAAATATACAAAAACTAAAAGTCAGTTATAAACGATTATTATTTTTTTGTGCACGTTTGTCAATTTATTTCCTCTATTTTGAATCGGTGATTGGGTTTCTTAGGTAGTTTTGAAAGTTTATTTCAAAACACAGCTCTTACCTCCCACGAAATGTAGTTTTGCTACCATAAAATTGCTCTTTTTCCCAACTTTCTCCCTTTCCTGATGATTTAAAATTTTCACCGAATTTACCGAGCCTAGAATTTCATAAGGGAAAGTAGAATTAACACAGTAACATTTGGTGAATTGGATTCTGAAATGGCAAAGAAGCCTGTTTTAAAATAGTTTTAAAACAAATTTTTCTCAAATTACGAAAAGAAAAGAGTATTTCAACGAATATAGGAGATTACCATGTCCCATCAACAGAAGAATATAAACTAGATTATATGCTTCTGCTACCATAAATAGCATATTTTGCATTCCCTCAGCTATTTTTATTTCTATAATTCTACGCATAAAGTAATTCAACAACAAACCAGAGCTTGTTGCCTGATTAGGCTCCTGCACGAACAGAGTAAATAAAAACTAACAAACAAAAACTTATATGCATCTACAGTTTCTGCTGTTAAAATCTCTTATCGAGGGACCGCAAAAATCACATCAGGATGCACTTTCTAAGGTAATTTCTTGAAGATCTTGAAGCCGGTGTTGGTGTTTTCGGCTGCACACGATGATTTACTACAACAGCTACAGTTACGCGGGTAAAACCTGCCTTTGTAGTTAGTTAACCATGCACTGTTGGTGCTGTAGGGATATTTGAAGCCCACCACATCACCATATTGCACAGGGCTACCATCCTCTGCATTCTTGGAGAAGATCTGGAAGGTGGCCTGGGAATACTTGAGCCACTCACTTCCGGTCATAGACCAGGTAAGGCTACAATTGCGAAAAGGGACCTAGTTTTCTTTTGAATGGATAAACCTTTTTTTCGGACAATTGCCATTGTCCAAAAAAAGAAATAAAAGCTATCTCAAACGCATGCATCATCTTTGGGTTTAATTTCTTCCTACATCAACTAGTTTAAATTTTTTTTTCGTTTCAATACCAAACGTCTTGGCAGATATTTAATACATGAAAAAAATTATCTTTAACCAAAAGTACATTTCAACAACACATTATTCTCATAAGGAGGTGCCTCAAATTCTAAATTGGTATCAGAGAAACAAATAAAATTATTTCACAGAACCAGTGTTATAAATAAATAAAGACTTTATTTTACGAGGGTAACACATAATAGCATAGCTAATAAACTTGTGGCCCTCACTCAGAAATAATTACAATATAAAAACTAGTATAATACAATATAAAAATAGAAACTAATATAATATAATATAATTGCAAGATAAGTAAAGAAACTAAAAAGGAAACTATACACGAAAATGACTTAAAAATTGTTGCTGCGAAAAAATATTAGTCCACATGTTGTGCTTAAAGCACCTTATGCTGTCCGCCATCCGTATGCGTAGTGGTATCTCGTTCCAAATTTTGGTTCCGGTGACGAGAAAAGTGCGCCCACCTTCAGTTTCCCTGTTATATCTGGGGCACAGTACATTAAAGTTTGAATAGCGCGTAGTTCTTGAATGTCTTGAGTTGTTGATCGGAATATGCTCGTTTAAATAGCTAGGTAGTGCACCGTGGATTCGTTTAAACATTATCGACGCTTTGTCAATCTTACACTTCTCGTAAAAAGGAATCCATTTCAGTCTATTAAAGAGTTCTACGGATGGAGCCATCCGCTCTGCGTAAAGGATGACTCTAGCAGCGCGTTTCTGCAGCTTAAAAACTCTATACAACAATTCTTTATCACAATTAGACCAGATGGCGCTGACATAACTCATAACCGGACTAATAATAGAATTGTAATACTGAATGCGTTGAGGAAGCGGTAAATACGTGCGAATTTTTCGCAAAATGGCAATACGCGAAGCCAGTTTTTTGCAGACTTTATCAGCGTGTGCATTGAAAGAGAGCGTGCTGTCAATATTTAGACCTAAGAGTGAAACACAGTCGACATTTGCTAAAGCCTTTTGGCTAGTTCCTAAAATAACTAATGCGTCCTGCCAATAAAACACTGGTAATCGAGGAATAAGAAGGGATCAACGGAGTATTTGAAAGAATTGTGTACTTACGATCGCACACAACAATAAGTGTTGGTAGAAGCAGTGCAATACATGCGGTAACTGATCTCATAGCGGTTCGAACTGAGTGACACAGTATCTCCGCTGTCAATTGGCTGTCCGTTCATCTTTCCCTTTGCAAAAATGGTAAACACCCCCAGCCGGCCATAGTTACAAGACGACCACCATTTAGAGTTAGCAATAGTGAGTCCATGGCAGGTATAAATGAAGCAGAAGCGTCTCCCACAACCGAACCATTCTTGTGACCGAGGGCCAGAAGTGAAGGCCGACCTCAAAGCAATAGTATCTCCACTGTTAATAATGGGATAACGGTGAACTTGGAGAGAAAGAACAAGAAATTTATAAACAATTAACTGAGTGATCGTAAGTGTTGATTATCTTGACAGCATGAAGAACACGATAAACGTTTTGTATGATCGAATTATTCTACTGTCATTAGAATTGGCTGAACTCAATATGGAAGCTCTCAAACAAATTCTTTTCCTTTCTCGTCAATATAATTTTCGTCATTTCAGAGATGTAATTTTTTGTTAACAAACCGTGCACATGTGGTTATACTCGACTGAAAAAGTCAAGGTATACCTCGTTCGACTCTACAACACCAAACTGTATTTTCTAGCCATTCCCGCCGCCACTAGTAAAAATCTACTGGGACAAGAGAAACGTGGAATCAAGTTTGGCAGTTTTACCTTTGGATAGACTGTTCCAAATTTTTTCCACGGGAACCTTGACGCTGACCGTCGCATTGACGTTTAGTGACTTTTTTGTAACCCCAACACTGGAAAAGGACGAAGAATCCACGCCAAAAGTCACGCTAAATACAATGAAACTACTGAAAACAAACTTCATCTTGGAGTAGCGATTTTTAGCGGATTGCTTTTCTCCCGAGATGAACTATGCCCACTTTGAATTAGTTCAAATGTTAACTGTCTCACTTTGTGGATAAACTTTAGCTTAGAAAACCTATTAAATGCCAGCAGAACAATAGCGACAGCGAAACATGTTCTGCCGCCGATATACGTGTTCTCCCATCCTGACAATTCTCTTTTGTGATCGAAGTTCTTTGTAGACTAAACATTCATTGAATAAAATAAACTTCACCTGAACGCAGTGCGGAAAAATTGATATTTTTTGCGAGACTTTAGAAGTTCTGCCAGCAGTTATGGTTTAGGAATGAAATTTGTGAACAGACCCTTCTTGGCTAGGTGCTTCAAGTCTGCCAAATCGTATCGTGTTTTGAGAACAAATTTCAACCTCCGCGTGTTTGTTTGGCGAACCGCATATATGGCTTGGACCTTAATGTTTCTTATTATGCTTCGTTGAGTAGCTGATGAAACATATGCAAATTGTTTTTACAATGATTTGCAATACACTCAACGAGTGTTACTATCTATTTCATTCATGTTTCCTTTTTACTGACAGTATTAGTTCACAAATTAAGAAACGCTCAGTGTTAACTCATTTCACGGTAATTACGTCATTAGCCAAAAAATGGAACATTCGAGCAAACCTCCACATCAAATAAAAACAAAAATGTTTATGGTTATGCGGAGTCGGTTTGCAATAAACTTGATAGAAACGTACTTATAGAAGATGTTATTTCAGAAAACTTCGGTTAATTTTGTTTGAAAAAGGGAATTTGATTTATAATGAATAATTCACCGAGGCATTTTTTTTCTACAAAAAGAGCAAAAATAACTATTTCTTGCATCAAAAACGTCAACGCAATTGCAAAAATTTCCTCATTTTCGGTTTCAATCGGTTTTTCTGCGAGTTCTACTCCGATCAAAAGCGAAATATCTTTAACTAAAGCAATAATTTTCGAGTGATATAGCTTTTATTCACAGGAGGTGCAAAATCTTATTTTAATGAGTCGAAAGCTGACAAGCAACAAACTGAAAGCTCTTTTATAGAGAAAATATTTGGAAAATACATATATAATCTCAGGAAGATAGATTTTAAAAGTAGCAATGGAAACTCTCTTAGTATTCTAGATTTCCCTTGGGTAAACCATCACAGAATCAAACAAAATTTATAATTGTGTTGTCAGAGTAACCGTGTATAACCATGTGACGTCAGGAGCACTTTACAAAATGGCGGACGGGTACAGCTGAAGTTTCGAAGACGGTGCAAATAGGAAATTTGTTTGTGTATCAGCTGATCTGTGATACTTTCAGTGCTAAAATGACGAATATAAGGTATGTCTAGTTATAGATAGGGTTGTGAACTGACCTCGTGAACGTGATTGTTTACAATATCGAAGAAGCCTTGCTCGATTCAATTTGCTGCACATATCAACACTCTACCAGTCTACCGAAGCAATGTTACTGAAATATATAAATATATATATTTTTAAAATTAACAAAATATGAGGATAGGAATTTAAATAACAGAATAAACTGAATAAAAACAGAAACGATGTTTTATTCGGGGCAGCATTTTTCGTCAAAGTTTTCAGTTTAGCTGTGTGATATACATTCAAGTTAAATTAGACCTTAATTGACTAGTGTCTTGAACTAGTACAGATTAACTTGTAAAGACGACAGTGTCACATTTAAATACAGTTATAAACACGTTAAAGCTTACTTTTGCTTTCTTTATTATCTTGGTACTGGTTTAATTGTAAAATTTTTGCGATTACCCCGTTTTTAATGTCAACATGGTATAATACCTTGGTTTTATGCAAATATATCGCTTGCAAATACCCAAGAGACCAGATTATCAAGCTATAGAGACTGTCTGAAATGTTTGATCTCTGTAACCTGCACTTTAAGAGTGTGCATCAGTCCTTTGTAGCTCCTTGGTAAAACAATATTTATCCCTGTGCAAAATTTACTCAGATTTGCTAAAGATCATCTAGAATTTTGTCATTAAGATCCTGACAGTTTTAGGACTCGTAATACAGAGCACAATAGGACTGTTTGTACATTTGAAATAAACTGTGCTAAGCATTTTCCAGTCCTGTCACACTCAAGATGTTTTCTTCCAGACCTTTTATGTGTCTTGCAAAAGCAGCATCTCAAATAAATCATGGCCTTATATGGTTAAGGGGTTGATTGTGGTATTAAAACAAATTTGAGTCTGATTCATTCTGTAAAAATGAGTCATTAACAACTATGATTTGTTAATCACAAGCATGACTAAAGACAAAATTGTCAGCATCAGTCAAAACGGTGACAAAATTTGACTAACAAAATACTCATCAGATAAACATATTCATAAACATTTTTTCCATGAGAAAATAAAAACGTTAGTCTTATAATGAGCATGGGACAAAGAAAAAATTCTGAGTACCCATGAAGAGTCGAACCTCAGACCTTCAGATTCCACGCTCTGATGCTCAACCACTGAAGCACAGAGACTCTATGGTGGGCAAGGCCCATTACAAATGGAATTAAAGAGCTTCTTTGGTTGACAATCATATACTTTAGTCCTGTGACCTTAATGTTTGATTTAGGGGTGATGTTGTAAGGAGTAATGAGAAACTAGTCACTCTTTGGGGTTAAAGGGTCACATTAAATGGTAAATGTTACAAGATGCTTTAATTGGTCATTCCTAACATTTTGCCTTTATTTAAAATTTTCATTTTAATATGGTATAGATTCCTGTTAGTGTTAGAAATAATTTTGGTTTTTCCAAAAATTAATTAAAGGTGGAAACCATTATCATCAATAACATTCACCTTTTACGCACAGTTTCATTTTGTATGAAAATTACTTAAGAACACGTTTTAATGTAGCTCAGGGTAGAAACAGATGGATGTTATATTTCTTCAAAGCCTTTCCTGGTTCTGGTAAATTTGATTGGGACTTTATGACATCTAGATAATTTGTGGATGATAATATATTTTTTCATCATTGAATATTGCATATAACCTCTATTTACGTACATGTATGTTGGTTGTCATAAAGATAATAACTTTCTTTTGCCTTTTTTTCACAGAATGGTTCCTTATTTATCAGCTGGTTCAGAATTTTGATTTAGAATATGTTGGGTTTAAAGACCAACAAAGTTCAATCTATCAGCTCTGTGAGTTTAGCTGGACTTCCCAAAGATGTGCGGATCCCTACTAGTGGCAATCACCGCCGTACATCAAAAGGATCATTGTCTGGTTCACTGGCAGGATTTGAACAATTGGAGGTATGTATAAAGACCTTCTTATTTTTCAGATGTGAAATATTATTGAGATATTAGGCTTAGTTTTGTATTTAAAGGTGGTGAAATGTTTTGCTTTTTGTCAAGTGCAATTTAATGAATCATACATGCATATAGCTATGCCCCCAAAACTGAATGAATAAAAACATAAATTATCCTTTTCTTAATGTAAATTTTTGACAAATGGACAAAATTGAATCACAGTAGATTGCATATTTTTACATTGACCTAAAAATACAGAGTTCTTTAATAACTGCTTGCTCTGAAACACCATCTTACCCTCCCTAATAATTTGATTCTTGCGATGAAAAGGCTCATTTTGGATCATTTTCATATACCTGCTTTTAAAGCTAAAGGATTGGTATTTTGTGTTTTGTCTTTAATATTTGATTAAAGTAAGGTTGTCTGAACAGTGAATTCATGTAAAATTACACAGTTACCAGTAATATTTATTCTAATCAGTGTATGTAAAGTTCTGCCTATATTTATCTGGTATCTTACTTTGATTCCTTGGAATAATTGCTGTTAAATCAAAACAGATGTCTTGAAAATGATAATCTTTACCTATGATTAATTGTTAAATTCAGTAACTTCATAAACATTGTTTAATGTCATTGGGAAATAGAGAGAAACACTTAAGCAAAAAAAAGTTAAAAATTAAAAATTTAAATTTTGAAAATTACCCTTTGAAGAAGCTTTATACATGAACACTAACCAAGTACTGCATTTTAATCCATTAATTGAAAAGGGTCGATCATTTGATCATTTTCAGTTTTTATCAGCAAGTGGTAGTAGAAACTTCTCATCTTCCTATTTAAAAGTAGGTATATTATGCTTGGTTTAACTCTTGAGACTTGATAACTAATACACATTAGCCAGGTAACTTTTGTTAAATTAAAAAATTTAAACTATTGTTTAACCTCCTAACCCTAAGGATCAACTACCAACTAATTTCTCCCTACATTAAGGAAAGTGATCTCTACTGAAAGAAACTCTTGATTGTTAAACAAATTCTCCTTGTCAGCACCTCAGGAAATGTATAGAGAACAGTATGGAGAATATGCTTACTGATGTTAGGATGGAAAAGCTGTGGCTACTTGTGTATAATTGTATTGTTTCTTTATTTTAAAATCTTATCAAACAGTTATTCCAGGAGTACACGTTGGATATGAATTACAATGTACAAAAAAAAAACTCCCTGAGTAAAAAACACTTTTGAGTACTTTTGTACAGAGTTTCAGTTTCTTTCTGTAAGGAAAAGATTTAGTTTAAACATAATGAGAAGAGACCACTCCAGTACCATCAGCATTCAGCTGCATTTTGCCCAAATAAATCATGAAAATTGTAAATAATTGTAATGATTTCAATGAGCAAATAAATATTTAAAAAATTACAGGGTGATAAACAATTTATGGATAAATTAGTATCTTTCTGATAAAATAAGTGAAATGCTAGGTCTTTGAGCTGTTGATGCCAAGGGAGGTGCATCTGAGTTATTTAACAGCTGTCTTCACAAATGACAAAGCATTGGTTGAAAAAAGATATTAAACCAATCTAAGACAATTAAAAAGTTTACCACATCCAATTAATTTGCATAATTTTGTTTCTAACAGAAATGGGGAATATTGCATAATTCATTTCTTTGGCACTTCCATGAAAAGTTGATTATCAATCTTTTTTGATAGCAGTCACTTTTGACTGACTCAAGCCATTGGGATACAATGAATGAATAATGGTTTTCATCTGGAATTCTGTAGAAAAACATTGCTAGTAATGACAAAATGAAGCATAAAAGTACAGTAAATAATATGCAATGATAATACGATGTTAAGGATTCAAAGGAAGTCAACAAAATGGTAAATATACTTGAAAAATAGGTATAAAAAAGAATACAGTAATATGCATTCGATATATTTATATGTTATAGTTGGAAGTGATCTTCAGCTGGTGGGAGTTTTCTCTTTTTTGCACTTCAGGGTGAGACAAAAATATTTGAAACAAAGAAAATATAAAGTGAAATCAATAGGTCATCAAGTGAAGAGTTTGTAAGAAAAGACAAACCTACCAGTAGGAGGTGTTGTTTTGAATGATACAAAATTAAATTCTCTCAACTCAATTGTATGGAAACTTACATCACTGAAAGGGAGAATTCCAAATAAGATGTTAAGAGTTCAATAGTTGACATTGAATCTAATTCTAGCTGTGCTGTATTATGAGTCAGAATACCATTGCTACTTTTCAACTAGAGATTCAGAAAACCCTTTAATCCCCGAGTGACCAGCATCTAATTTCTCCTTTCAATATCACCCCTGAATCAAACATCAAGGTCATGAGAATTAAGGAAATGATAACCAACTGAAGAACCCTGTTGATTGTTAAACAAATTCTCCTTGCCAGTACATTAGGAAATGTATAGAGAACAGTATGGAGAATATGCATACTGATGTTAGGGTGTAAAGGATTAATGAAATTTTTGTTGGAGAATGAATTGCCATGATCAATGAATTAACCATGAAAAACTTTTTGAGAATGACTTACAATAAAATAACTTAAATTTAGTTCAAAGAGATCAGGTTAAAAAAAACTTTGTAAAGAACTCAACTAGGATAGCAATTTTATGTTTTGTGGTTTGTATTGTTCTGAGTTTTTATACTGACTTTGTGGAAACAAGCTTTTGATATTTAACACCCAAAGAGCAGATGATAAAATTAAAAGACTTGGATCTCTATATATTTTCTTCTAGATCAACAGATCTCTTTTTTAGTATATTTTCGTAACAGGAGAAAAGTTCATAATGTTTGATAAATTATTTAATTGTTTTGTGACTGGCACCGAGGTACATCTCCCACTGGTTATTTCTACATGAGGTTTTAAATAAATTTTTTGCTTTGAAATGCAAATTCAAAAAGTTCCTCTTGAATATTTATCTCAAGTCAATGTTCAGGTCTTTTCTCATGCTTTACAAGACTTTAACAAAAGCACAGATTTTCAACTATTGTGAAGATTTTGTTTAAGTTGGTTAAAGTTATGGGAAAATGTCCTTTATGTTTCAGGACAAACAAATTGAGTGACAACAAATTTTTGCACAGATTGTGTCATTATCATTTGGTATTTTTGTTAAAGCTGTGAAGTAGCTTTGTGTTTTCAACATGAAAGAGTCATTTTCAACTCTCTATGAGCTTGACAAACGTGGAAGTATAGTTTCTCTGAAGATGTTCAGTCGAGTCTCAGTAAGTGGATTTGTTAATACTGTATGTTTATACTAAATTATGTAAAGCTAGATATTCTTGAGTGGTTGAAATGATTTTGAAACTTGTTTGAAAAGTTTAAGCACAAACAATGATATTGTTAAGTGCATTCAAAATCATACATGTAGATCAGAAAATAAATCATTTTATTTTTCCAGCTCTCGATAGATAGACCAAGATAACCAGTCATTGTGCAACGTCAGATCATGTAATAATTTGAGGATCATTTTTATCACCCTAATGATGAATTTTTGAAATAAGTTTTTGGCTTTTAGTTTCCAGTTCTTCTTTAGAGCTTTTTAGAGTGTGACACACTTAATTCACAAATTTTCACATTTTTCTCTTGCAAATTTTGACAAATTTTCAGTTCCAGCATAAACTAAAAGAAATTTCATCATTTTGAAATTATACAATTTACTTGACTGTAAAATTCTCTCAGTTGTCACTTCAGTGAATTAGTTTATAACATATGGGTTGAAATTCTCATAGTCCTTTTGCACTTGTAAAGTTTCTGGCCTCATTGTCAGACCTAATTGTTAGCAGAACAATCTATTGAAGTTATGTGAAGTCATGCACATGTTATTTACCTCTGGAAGTTAAGGAATAAAAAAGCTACAAAAGTCATTTTTAATTTGAAAGAGACATTGCTTTTGTGATATCTGTTACAGACATAATTGCAACCTCCTTGTATCTTCAGACCATAGATAAGTCACTAAACTGAGGCTTGGGTTGAAAATTTAGGTAGCAATTTTTTCAAACCTACCAAAATGGGTGACTAAAATGGTCACAGCCAAGAGTGCTGAAGATGGATGGTGTACATGAGACCACCATGAAACAAGACATTTGTAAGAAAATTTCCAGTATTGAAACCAAAAGCAACCTTTCTTATCAGTACATGCTGCTTTTTTGACATTTCCAATCTTTTTAAATTTTTGTAGAAAAGCAAGAAGTCATGGATTGCTGGACATTTTCGAGGTCGGGAGTGCATCAAAATTGTGAAAGATGCAAAGAAGACTCGCTCAGAAGAGTATGTACATGAACCTTTGTAGAAACGTGATTTTTTTTACTTTTGTATATGTAAGATTTGAGGCCCTTTGCATAACTCCAACATGAATAATGGAGTGCTGATGTAAATGATAATGGTTATAATTGTGTGTAAAATTCAACTTTCATAACTATTTTATCTCAAGCTATCTCTCATAAATATTTTATCTCGAACTATCTTGAGAAACAGAGGGATATCTGCTGGTTTACTGGTGTCCACCAAGAGTAAAACAGTTATGAATGAAACAGAAAGTAAGTCTCACTGTTACTCAATGTACCTTTTTTTCCATGTTAGGAATCCAATGTGTATGTGTGGTAGAACTAAGAATCAACATGATTTAAATGTGGCCAGAGAGGACACAGGCGATCAATGGACCCCAGAAAGGTGCACACGGCAGATGCAAACTGATGCATATGGGGAGATTGACTTCCTTGGTACAGGCAGTCAGAATAAACGCTCTCCAGTAAGTCGCTGCAGACCATGCCGGATTGATACTGT